ATAACAATGTTTTCTTTGAATTTCACTCTTCTTATTTTGTTGTCAAGGACGAATCTACTCGCGCTACCCTCCTTACGGGCCCCAGTGAACAGGGTTTATACTCCATTCGTCTTCCTCAACTCAAGTCTCTGCCGAAGGTTGCCTTCACTGCTGTTAAAGCTCCTTCRAACATTTGGCATCAGCGTTTAGGACATCCTCATGCTCAAGTTTTTCGTTCAATTGTTTCTTATTGTTCCTTACCCGTTTCGGACAAATTATCAAATACTTTATGTTCTTCTTGTCAATTGGGAAAATCTTCAAAGACATCTTTACCTGATTCCACTTTTCGTAGCAATAATATTTTAGATCTTGTTTACTGTGATGTTTGGGSCCCTTCTCCCGCGCCATCTCTTGATGGTCATCGTTATTTTCTTTTATGTGTTGACCATTTCACACGTTATATGTGGATTTATCCCTTAAATCAAAAATCTGATGTGTATACTGTGTTCACACAATTTATCACCATGACTGAACGCCAATTTAACACCAAATTAAAGTGTATTCAATCTGATTGGGGGGCGAATTTCGGCCTCTCACCAATCTTTGTCGCAACCTTGGCATCATCCACAGAAGGTCTTGTCCTCACACCAGTGAGCAAAATGGCATTGTTGARCGCCGCCATCGTCATGTTGTAGAAACTGGTCTCACTCTCTTGGCTCAATCCAGTCTTCCTCAACGCTTCTGGTCCTCTGCATTTGAAACAGCTGTATAYCTCATCAATCGTCTCCCTTCTCGTGTCTCCTCCAACAAATCTCCTTTTGAACAAGTCTTCAAACGCAAACCTGATTATTCCTTCTTACGAGTCTTTGGTTGTCAATGCTTCCCTTATCTTCGTCCATACAATCATCACAAAATTGAATTCCGGTCCACTCCCTGCGTCTTTCTTGGTTACAGCACCGTTCACCACAGCTATCGCTGTTTTGACCCGTCTACTGACCGGATTTATATTGCCCGACATGTTCGCTTCAACGAACATGTGTTTCCCTACCAGCCTTCACCAACCCCACCACCACCATCCACTCCTCCTTACATCTCTATATTTCCTAACCCACCACCCGGTTTCCCACCCGAGCCTCCACAATCGCCTCCACCACCACCACCCCCTCCTCAATCTCTTCCTCAATCTCCTCCCCAATCGTCTCCACAATCTTCACCATCACCACCTATTCCACCTCCTTCTGATGCCTCCCTDCCCGAACTTACCCATACTCTTCCAACCGTCTCTCGACCTCGGCCTTCCAACCTTCGCCCCAATCCCAAACAACCTGACCGATATAACCCAGCCGCTTACTCTGCCACCGCTTCCTCACCTCTACCTCTTGAACCCACCAGTTTTGCCGTTGCTAACAAGTCTTTAGAATGGCGCCAAGCAATGGCTGATGAGTTGGCTGCGCTTCATAGGAATGGCACGTGGACACTTGTGCCCCCTGTTCCTAATGCTAATGTTGTTAATTGTAAATGGGTTTACCGGTTAAAAACTGATGAAAATGGAAAGATTACCAGGTACAAAGCCCGCCTTGTGGC